TTTACATGCCCATTCCCTTTCTTATGTACATGTCACCCAGTGGTGGAAGGGGTATCTGATTTATTATAAAGAAGTTTAAAAAACTTCAGCCTGTTGAGCATCATTCAATGGACACTGTCACAAGCAAAACAACAAAGATTAGTTTTCTAGTGCTGAAAACTGTCTGTACATTGTGCTAACACATTAGCTTATTACTGGCTGTCCGGCAAAACATTCCCTACACTGCAGGGGCAGAGAAAATGGAAGCACCAGGCAACTATGTTGCATGCCAGAAGACCACCTTTGGGGTTTAACCATAGGAATATGGTTATACCGCTGGGGGAAAAAAAGGGCTGGACACTCTTGCATCCTTCAAAGAGCTAAAGTTGTCATTGGGGTGGGAATGTTCCGTTAAAAACCATGTACTTCAGATGATCATATTTGCAAATAAATAAACCAAATACCGTAATAAATAACACTGACATCATTTAACATTGAATGGAAAGGCTTTAGCTTTATTGAGGGTATTTAGAGGCATTACTAAACACTTTAAATTAATTTCATAGCCATTTAATACCATAACCCTTTCACCAAGATTAAAATTTAACAATCCGCCCTTGAATCAGCCAGCTTGCTTAAACCTTAATCCTCAATCCACCTCGCCTATTTGAGGCGACCTTACCCCCAATTCCCCAGCCTACGACACTAAAACGAAAATAAAAAAGAGGTGGTTGGGTGGGAAGCTCAAAACTTCTCCCTCTTGATCTGTAAGTCCGTCAAGCGTGAAGCCTGCGCAATTCAAACTTGGTATATATACCTATTACTAACTAGCGCACGCTGCTTCCATTGTTTTTAACCAATCAGGGCCTAACATATTCCCGCCAAAAAACTAACAGCCAATGAAAATACCTTAATTAAACCTACAGTAAACTTGATTCAGCTGGCTAACCTTCCAAGCTAAATTAACACTTGACCTTAGCTTGGAAGGTTAGCCAGTTGAATCCAGCTGCAGGACATCTCTCTCGCTGGCGATAAGCCAGCGCTTCTCCATTACTCTCAGAACCCTTGCGATAGAGCACATAGATATACTCAATACAAAGCATTCTGCATACCTCCCAAAATTGTGAAGTATCGGATGGGCAGAGAGTTGGTGGTTTAAAGACGATAACCAAAAAGAGGTGGTGCAGTCCAACACAAGGTCACGTTGTAACATATTCATCCTCACCTTGCAGTATCTGAGCTCAGCGGCCATGCATCAGTATACCTGACCCCTGCAAAATGTTGGTGGACCCCGGCCGCTGCGGATCCCCGCCAAATTATAGCCCCACGTCTGCCCACAGTGATGACTACTTCAGCGTGTGACGTCATGCGGGAGACGCGCACGTTCTGGGACCAAAAGTCAGTTTCGGCCAATCAGATTTGTAAAAGGCTTATTTAAACACATTTTTACTTCTCCTCATTGCCCTGTCGTAGTTTCCCTTAGTGGTTGTCCGAGAGTGTGTTCCTGAGTTTATTTCTGGTTATTGACTTTGGCTTCATTTTGACTTCCCTGTATTCTGGTACCCTTGACTTTTGGCTTTTCCTCATCGTTGTGTCCCCGACCTCGGCAAGTATCCTGACTATTCTTTGGTACGTTACGTCCGGCCATTCTAAAGCCCGGTAAGACGTTACCTTTTTAGTCCTCGGTGTGATACAGTTTTACGTGCTGCATCAACTATTAATCCTGACACATGTGAATGCATGCCAAAATGGCAGCTAGTTGCATTGACCTGCCCCATGGCACATGAGCAGAGTACTGTTAACTCACGTTGGCTCTCGCTTTAGAAAATGGACATTGAGAAAGTATGTATACCGTGGTTGTCGGGATTTACTCTATACATCCTGAATAAAATAACACTGTCAAAGTAGCAAGTTCAAAATGCAACACTTTATCACAAAATGGTTGTTATAACGCTCCCTTGATAACGACACCGTTCCATTACAGCCAGGTTAAAATTACTGAGCATTGCTACAGAGCAGGGTTTAGTAACGCTCTGTAACTCTATATTCTTATATAGCAGTGATGGCGAACCTTTTTGAGCCCGAGTGCCCAAACCGCAATACATGCCAACTTTTTTTCCCTCAAAGTGCCAACATGGCAATTAAACCTGAATACTGAGGTTTATGTTTAGAAAAAACTACTCGTACAGTTAACAACTTTTGTTTTAAAAGAAGAACACAACAGAGAGTTAAATTATACAAATTTTAAATAATTATATAAATTAAGCTTATATTAGTATCTCCAACAAATGCAATACATACACACAGACTGCTGAACACATTCACACACCAACTGCTTAATACATACACACACCGAGACACAGACAGACTGCTAAATACACACACAGTCCGCTAAATACACGCACACTCCTGAGTACGCAGTCTGCTGAATACACGCACGCAGTCTGCTGAATACACACACACACACTGCTGAATACATAAAGACTGCTGAACACACACACATATAAGACAAGTTGAACACACACAATATTGCTGGCCTGCATTGAGGGGTGCAGTGTATGTGTCTGTG